TTCTCATGAACACCCTGGACTAATGTGTGAGTGGTGGGATGCCAGATCATTAGTTATAGTCTATTTGCTGTCCTCAGTCCTTGTGTATGTCTCATATGGGGCTGTGAATGCATCACACACCAGACTTCTGCTGGCTCATAGTTATCTTTGACCAATCTGTCTGCGTGTCTTTGCTCGTGTCACCGTTCATCGCTTTGAATACTTTCACAAACATGAAATGACTAAACACACAGGATCATCATCCTGGTGAAGTTCCTCTGAAGTTTGCACAAATCTGGAACGAGCATAAACGATTACTTTGTCCAGTACAACAGAAAGGAATCAGGCGGCTGCTTGTGAGGATTTTGCGTGTGTGTGTGTGTGTGTGTGTGTGGTAAAGACTTATCTGCATATTCACGGTGACTGTTTACCTTGAAAGAAGCTGATCAGGATCCCATTTTGTCCTATCTGTTGGCACATTTCGAATGGATTTGTGAAAGCATTCTACTATGTTTGGTTTATGTTTCAGTGGTAGAAGCTGATCTTGCACAAAGTAGAAACAGAAATCTATTGCAAGTTCAAATTCAAAATCCTGCTTCAGAAACTCCTAAATATACTTTACATATTTGGGAACATACACTCTCTTGGAAGTAGTACGTCCCTTGCCACTGACATATTTGATGTAGTTGCCCCTGATGAGGGGCAGCTATCAGTGTGTGTGTGTGTGTCTGTGAGCAGTCTGTAGCTCGAGTGCTAACGTCTAACAAGGTGATATTTTACAGGTGAGCTAGGAGCGGCATGTCCTCAGAATGGATAGATTTTGGGATCAATCAATTCAAAAATAGCTCTGGTAGAGGTCAAAGGTCACCTTTTAAAAAATGCCACCTACCTTCAAAAGGTGCAGGAGGGGTGGAGGTGGGGATAGCACAGGATAGAAGATGGAGAGCAGTTGTGGTGGTCACATCACTATTTCTGCTTGCCACTGAATTTCAGAATTTTCCGTGGGGATCAATAATTTCTATTCTATTCTATTCTATTCTATTCTATTCTATTCTATTCTATTCTATTCTATTCTATTCTAGTGTCCAGAAGTTCAATGTAGTGCAATAAAATGTATATTTGCTACTGAAATATACCAGAGGATGAAATGCCAAAATACAGTCAGTAACTATTTACAGGGGGAAGCTTGAACACCATCCGCACTGTGAAGCACGGGGGTGGCAGCATCATGGTGTGGAGGGACTGGTGCACTTCACACAATAGATGGCATCATGAGGAAAAGAACATGATGTGGAAATATTGAAGCAACATCTCTAGACATCAGCAGGAAGTTAAAGCTTTAAAGGGGTCTTCAGATGGACAACGACCCTCAGCATAGTGCCAGATTAGTTACAGAGAGGCTGCAGGACAACAGGGTTTTGGAGTTGGCCATCACAAAGTCCTGATTTCCATCCTGCAGAAGATTTGTGGGCAGAGCAGAGATACCCAAAACATTCGACCCAAGTCATACAGTCTAAAGGCAACGCTACCAAATACTAAGGACATGTATGTAAACTTCTGACTTTGAAGAAAGTAATAAAAAAAATTAAAAAGAAATCCTCTTTCTCATTATTCTGGAGTTTAGCAAATACAAATAATTTTGTTCATCCTAACTGACCTAAAACAGGAAGTGTTCAGTCTGATTCAACACCACACAGTGAGAAATAAACACCTATATGTTTTTTTATACAGGAAACTTCTGGTTTCTGAGTGAATGCACCAGAACTTTCCACCATGCTAGAATTTCACAAACCTTCCAGATGTCAGGATCAAAGAACTTAAAAAGATTTCCTAGACAACTAATACTTATTATGGTCATTTTTCTTTAACCCAGCGGTGAATACAGGGTTTGTTGTTCATTTGGGTGTAATGTTCCTTAAACCTGAGTGTTGTTTGTTTTGAGGGAGGCAACCAAATGGGAAATGACGTGATGCCTGTCTGCACAATTTCGCCATCTTCTGCCGGATCTGTGCATTCATTCAAAGTAGTTTTGTGAACATGCTGTCCTGCTGCAGGTATAGTATACTGAAGGTTCTTTTTTTTAAATGTTTGCCCTGTTTACCAGTAACAGAGTCTATCTGTGTTTATGGCTCGACACTTTTAGGAAGCGTTAAATCCGATTGCGCTCAACTTGTAGCCCCATAAATCCCGAAAGTGGTTCAGATACGATCCAAGTGTGAGTCTGGAATTGTTTTATGATGGGTTTATCGGTTGTGCTTTAGCGTTTTATTGCGCTGTTTGAATGGAAATAACGCGAGTGTCGGTGCCAACGAAGCAGCCCGGCGGTCCGGTAACTACAAAGCGCAGCTGCTGCCTGATGGTTTGAGGTGTAATTTAGTGTTTCCTTGAAGAATAGTGAACACGAGGTGCGTTTTGGAGTTGTAGTTTCGATATCATGAGGAGGTTTGGATCTCCTTTTCCTCCCTTCACTCCTTCCATTCATGGCTGTGCTCGGTGCGCACGGAGCCGGAGACTCCAGCGGCTCCACATCTGGCTGCTGTTGGAAATTTCCACGCGTTCAAGCTGCTGAACACTCACACACAACAACAGTAAACACATCTAGACGTAAAATTAAAATAATAAACCCCTGTATGCTGCCATATGCTTTTAGAATTAAAAAACCTGGAAAAGATATTTTAATTTATGTATTGCTTATTTTTCAATAAATGATTTTACAGCAGCCCCTCAAAAATCAATCAACATGTTGTTTTGTATAAATATATATATTAAAATCTTTCCAATTTTGTTTAAGATCCTATGGAACTTTTCATGTGCCAGATATTGCGCAGAATAAAAATGGAATAAATGCAGTGCCTGATAGAAAAGACGTAAATGCATCTACAATATAAGTAGAAAATTAAAAAGAAAAAAAGAAACTAAAATAAGACTAGATTAGAACAGTACAAAGTAATACTGATGATGATTCGGAAGTAGCAACGTAATATTACACATGACAATAAAATGTTGCAACTGAAAATGAATAAATCTTTTTTTTAAAATGTAATTTTATTTTTGAAAAAATGTATGCATTGATCATATAGAAATGTATCAATGCATTAAATGATTAAGAGATTATTGTTGATCTATCCAATAATGGTTAAGTAAACCAGATTACGAAAACCAGAAATTAGAAAATTAGAAGGCTGAAGGCAGGGATTATTTTAAAAAAAAAAAAAAAAAAAAAAAAAAAAACTTAAAAAAAAGGAACTTGATTTGTTATATCCAATAAATTTGGGGTCCTAGCTAGTTCCAAAAATAATTGGTCTGTCCATTATCTTTGCACCTTGAATGCCCTCTAAGCGTTTGTCAGAAGCTCTTAGTTGTGGTATAATAGAATCATATAAAGTACAACATGTTCACAACACTGAATGACCCAAAATGATTCATTCCGACTGTAAACTTTGATCAGTATGTAAGTAAACATGCATGTGCAGCTCCTCAGTAGGAATACTGAGTTGAGAAATGCACATCAAGCCCTGCTCTGTCAGACACATCAGTCGATCATAATGTCTTGTTCCACCAGTCCTGTCAAAGATCAGAGTTCCTCCATAGTTTCTATTTTATGGCCCGAATGCTAAAACATTTGAGGCCTTCTTGTTCCAGCAGCATCACAACTCAGTCATGTAAAGCAGAATACAAACATATTCAGGTATGAAATCAAGCAAAAAAATCCACCAGTCAATTTGGAAGCGTTTTAAGTTGAAGTGTTCAACTTCTGGTCCTGCTTGACCTCTGACCTCTCACATGCCGACCTCATCGATTCATTCACTGACTTGTTAAGTCACTGCTTCATGTTCTGTCTGCTTGTGTTGAAAGCAGCATTAGCCATCCACTATCAATACATCGCTTAATCCTCACTGGGTCGCGGGGGACTGGAGCCTATTGAAGGCAGGGGACACCTGGACAGGTAACCAGTCTATCACAGGGCTACACTTAGAGACAGACAACCAAGCACACTCACATTCACACCTACGGGCAATTTAGAATCACCAATTAACCTCAACATGTTTCTGGACTGTGTGGGAGGAAGCCGGAGAACCCGGAGAGAACCCACGCTGCACGGGGAGAACATGCAAGATCCCGGTTGTCCTCACTGGGATGCAACCCAGCGACCTTCTAGCTGCGAAACAATGGTGCTAACCATCGAGCCACTTTGCCGCTGAAAGAAAACAGCATTAAATGCAGAGAATTTTTTATACATTCAGATTAATTTCATCACTGCATTGTACCAGATCCTCGCTTTGTAACACCAGAGCTGTTGTGGAGCTTTATGCCTAATTAACTGAAGCATTAGCTCAACATTTGTTCTCCGTGAACACAATGCTGATTACTCAACGGTATAATGGGTTTTTATATGTCAGAACAAGATCAAGTGATTAGCGTCAGACTGTGTAGGTGCATGTAAACACTGAATGCACAACAACAATGGTGTGATTTTCATTGTTGTGCTTAATGATGGCAGCAGCACAAGCTGTGCCGCCTAAATGACTTATACTGGCCTCCTGAAATGGGAACAAAGCGTACAAAACACCACTACCCCTACACAGATCATTTGGTTTGGACACCTTCAAATTAAAGTCAAAACTCTGTGTTTGTTTCAACTAAACTCCAGCGTACTGGTGTGCGAGCAGGCTGCAAGGTGGCTCGGTGGTTAGCACCGTCGCCTCGCAGCAAGAAGATCGCCGGTGAGGACACCCGGGATCTTTCTGCGTGGAGTCTCCATGTTCTCCCCGTGCAGCGTGGGTTCTCTCTGGGTTCTCCGGCTTCCTCCCACAGTCCAGAAACATGTTGAGGTTAATTGGTGATTCTAAATTGTCCGTAGGTGTGAATGTGAGTGTGCTTGGTTGTCTGTCTCTAAGTGTAGCCCTGTGATAGACTGGTTACCTGTCCAGGTGAACCTGCCTTCACCCTGAGTCAGCTGGGATAGACTCCAGCCCCCTATGACCCTAGTGAGGATTAAGTGGTGTATAGATAATGGATGGATGGTGTCACCGTGCTAATTCTTACCGACTGCACCGTGTCCCGACTTAATAAACCAACTAAACCAGGTCTGCCACTGTTATAATGTCCTTGACAGATGATATAATATGAAGTGATTGGGCGTTAGTAAAGCCAATTTGTGAAGCAGAAACACTCCAATCACTGGTCTTCAAGCAGTGGGTTGCTTTCACTTTGTGTTTGAGCTCAGAGGCACGCAGGGCTGCAGCTTGTGTGTGTTTATAGTGCAGTGATACAGGATTTATTGATAATCTGATGGTAATGTTTACATTTTTATTTCCATATATTGATGGAACGGGGTGCTAAATGTAATTTAGATCTTCTGTTTTCACATATTTGCATCGTATGTTACCATAAAGACTGGAGCAGTGGCAGCAAAACATCACATGCCTTTTGTCCTCTCTCTGCACGTTAACAGTTTGTCACTTTTCTGATGACTTGCACTCCTCTCTGTGGACTTTATCTCGTCTATGCATGTCGCGCGTCACGTGCTTCCCCTTAACAATAACTCAAGCCGCCGTCGCTCAACACCTGCGATCGAATGGTATGTGACTTTAGCGGGGAGGTGGAGTTTAAAAACAAGAAGTAAAACTCGCAAAAGAAACCCGTCACCTGACTGAAGAGGTGTTAAACGGCAGACAAACAAGCAGGCGGATACTGACGCCGGCAGCCAGGTATGTAGATGTTGGCAGGGATCTGTTCCAGCACTGCTCATTATATTTAAACTGCACCCCAGATCCACCTCTGCCAAATCAGCTTCAGTAATAAGCAGTGATTTCCACTTTTAGGCTCAGCAGACGAGCTCGTTTACGACCAGCATGTAGGAAATGCCTGCTGGCTGGGAGGGACCGGGCAGGTAAACTGCCACCGTGTTAAGAAAGAAGAAATATTTGTTCTTCCCTCCAGCTGTTGAGTGGTGCAGACGCCTGAAGGAAGAGTTTGAGTGGGAGCAACATGAGCTCTCAAGATGAACTGTCCCACGAGTGGATGGACAGCCTTGGGAATGCCGAGGACTTCTCTCCGAGGAAGGAGACAGAGGTTTTGGGAGATTACAAGCCGGGAGACGACGGCGACGCCTTGGAGCCTTCGTTCCGGGACTCTCCGCAGCTCTTCCCGCTGATGGAGACCAAGCTGTACAAGCGGCGCTGGGCGATGCTGTTCCTCTTCAGCGCCTACTCCACGAGCAACGGCTTCATGTGGCTGCAGTACAGCATCATCAGCAACATCTTCATGCGCTTCTACGGCATTGACAGCCTGGCCATCGACTGGCTCTCCATGATCTACTGCCTCACCTACATCCCTCTCATCCTGCCCGTCATGTGGCTGCTGGACAACCGGGGCATGAGGGACATCGTGGTGGTGGGTTCCGCCTTCAACTGCGTCGGCGCCTGGATCAAGACGAGCACGGCCGACCCCGACATGTTCGCCATGACCTTCTTCGGGCAGTTTGTGTGCTCGGTGGCCACGGTTTACATCCTGGGCATCCCGTCCAGGCTCGCGTCGCTGTGGTTTGGGCAGCAGGAGGTGTCCACCGCCTGCTCCATCGGCGTTCTGGGGAACCAGGTGTGTCCCTGTTTACCTGCTGGGCTGAGAAAAAAGATCTTTGTGTGTGTGTGTGACGTGAAGCTCTGTCATCTTCAACACTCTTGCTTTGCACTTTGAATGAGCTGAAACGCAGGCATGCTTTGTCACGTCTGCCGTCTTTGCTGTGCTTCTCGCTGAGGCAGCAGTTTTAACCAAATGAATCACTCGTTCTGTCAGAAGAGAAAACCTGCGGCTTCAGCTTCCAATCAGCCGAAAAGATGCTAGAGAAGTAATGCAGAACCAAACACCTAACACATGCTTACGTGGTTGGTTTCAGTTCTGTTAAATCACCTCAGGATTTCTTTTGTGCAGCGTGCTGTGTGGGAAGTTGAATTGTTTCGTCAGCTTCTAAAGAATTAGCTCATAGTTTGCATTTAGCTGCTTGTCTAACATGTAGTTTAGCATTTTTGCCTTACATGCCAAGGGTTTTGTGTTTGGAACTGGATTTTCCCCCCTAAACAAGCAGACTTTGAGCAGAAAACAGACATTTTAGCCAACTTCTGGCTGTATTTTCTACTTCTCTTTGTACGTTTCCGCCACACACAGTCAACAGGTGTGTCTCTCCCAAAAAATCAGGAAGCTAAAGAAGCTCTATCTCATTAAAAAAAGAAAAGGGGAGACACCTGTATTGTGTAATTGTTCAACGAGATTTCCTTCATGTCTATGTGTGTGTGGTTTCTTCTTTCTAGCCGGGGGATATTTGCTGGGGATGGCGGGTGACTTCCACCGCTTGAACCGTCCGCTTCAGAACAAGCTCCCACGTTTGGGTAAATGAACTGTACGATGAGGTTACAGTGAGAATGCTGCTGTATCTGTGGCGAGGTGGTCGGGCCGGCATGGGCAGGGTTTGTGTCATTGTGTGCCTTCTCTGTCTAACAAATTATGAACCCGGCAACTCACAGCAGGTTTAAATGGCACGTTATCTTAAAAAAAACTAAATCAAAAGTCATAATCCCAATGTTTATCAGAGCCAGAAACTGTAAAAACAGAAAGACTCTTTTTTTATTTTTTTTAAAAACTTTGACACTGACCTGGGCTGAACTGCAGGCTTTGTACACGCAGATCTGATAGGACACAAGTATGAAAACAAACACAAACGTCAGGAGTACATGATATCTATAGAATGTAGAGTAAAGTTTTTTTTCCCAGTGATGCCTGCGGGCACCGTACATGTTAATTCCAGGGTGTTTTTTTATAAAATTTATTATTTTTTTTTTTAACCTTTTGTACAAATAACTTCCTTTTTTATTTTCTTCATAAAAAAAAAATAAATAAAATAAAATAAAATAAAATAAATAATAATAATAATAATAAGTTTGCTGTATAATGCATGTTATATTTTCACAATCTCAAAGTGCTACAAGGTAAAACAAAAATAGTTAAATTATTAAAACAGTTTCTAAGAACAGTCAAGATAAAATAGGTTTTCAACAACAAAAAAAAGGAGGACCTAATAAAAGAGTTCAGCAAAATGCTTTAATGTGTTCATAGTCTCCCATGAAAGAAGGAAAAAAAACAGCTTCAGTCACTGAAATACGTTAAAACTGACACAAGTAATAATAAATAAAAATGTAATGAAAATCATGACATCGCTTTTGAATTGTGGAAATATTTTAAAAAACAAAATAATGACAATAAAAAAAACAAAACAAGCATGATAGGACCCATGAACTAATATTTAGTTGAACAACCCTTTAATCACTGCCATCAGGTGTTTTCTGTAACTCTCATCAGACTTCTGCACCTGTTGACAGGTGTTCTGGTCCACTGCTCATCAGCAAAGTGCTCTAATTTGTTTGGGACAATTATTTTTTAAAAATTATTCTTTTCAACCACCATTCAAAAGCAACATCTCATTTGACTAAATTATAATTTAGCAATTTTTTTTATTATTACTTTTTTCAGTTTCTACTTATTTGAGTGACTTTTGTGAATTTTACCTTTTCTTTAATGGAAGGGGATGAATACATTTGAGGACGACTGTAACTGTGTCATTGAGTTCTCTCATCTTCTGGCCACGTTTGTGTTGCTTCCACAGAGGTACAGAAACTTTCCAGTGACAGTTTTAAAAGTTGTGATTCACTCTAAAGTCATTTCCAAATGCAAGAATCTGCCTTTGTATTTCAGTTTAGCTCCGACTGATTCCTTTCTGTACGAGCCAGTAAAAACAAGTGAATGCATACCGGACGTGTTGTGTATAGGGTTTTGGACGCTTTGTGTTCCCACCACGATCCTGGACAGTGTACATAAACATATACCATCAAAAGAAGTCCGACCCCCCCCCACGATGCTCTTAAACCGGTTCTCCTTCATGAGACCAAACACCACATGCCGGTCATTGTCATGCATGTTCTTGTTTTGTGCTTTCGTCCCGCTCCCCGCCGACGAAGATAAGAGGACACATTGTTGTTGATGTTTAGTTGCTCACCACGACTTAATTCTCTTGGCTTCGGTCCCTAAACCTGATACTTCCCTGCAAGTTTTCAGACCGGAGCCTTTTTACATTTCCCCCCGGGCATTTAGAAATAGTTCACATTAACACAAAGTAGGTAGGATTTCCATAAAGGCCCGCCATGCTTTGAAGATTTAACAGATTTCTGTGCTAAAAATAACTTTGTAAGGGAGGCCATCCTTGATTTAAAGTGAAAATGAGTTACGCTTGTTTTGCACATTTGCCCCCCCGAGTTAGCACGGCTCGCTCTGCATATCAAAAATAGAGATGCAGCACCCTTTGTTTGCTTCAGATGATTCAACAACTAAAGGCTCTTGTGAATATCTTACAAAAGCTTTCAGTGATTGCAAGGTAGGTTAAACCTCGGCCACTCGTGTTAGATCTGCAGCATCAGCTTGTTGTGCGTCAGGGTGCTGCAGAGGGTAACAGGTCTCTATTTCTGTGCTTGCACTAACCTCGGGCTCAAGTTTGTTCCTCCTGAAGGAGCGTCACCTTTTCCTTCCCTCACCTTTCCCCCAGAGCGGAGGGACCTCGGCTGGTGTCCCCTCTGGAATGTTCCTGAGGCAGTAGGAAGCTGAGGGAGTTGGCACTACTCCTGGTGGTATTAAAATTTGGAAAGTTTAGTCACCCCCAACCCACCCGCATTCGTCCGGGATCCACGAGAACTGTTGCCAATCGTTGATCACATTTTATCCTCGTACCAGGCACATTTCACAAGATGACGTTTTGCGTTATCTGTACTCTTTATAAAGCAGGAGTTTGACATTTTTGGAAATTCTCTGAGTTATATGTCACTCGTGTGTCTGGGTAAAGCTACAGCCATGTCAGACTACTCCTTTAACACCAATGCAGTTATTACATATGTCAAAAAAGCTTTTAATGCTGTTACAGTAACAGACATCACTCACACAGATGTCCAGCAGCCAAATGCCAGTCTGGCTCTTTTTTGCAGGGCAGCATTCTCTTTGCAAAAGGCTTAACTTCCTTTTTCTTTTCTGATTCATTATCTTTTACCGCTTTTGTACTGATGTGTTCTCCACATATGTGTGTGTTTGTGGTCGTCAGCTAAAGGCACTGAGCCAGTTTTTCATGTCGTGCCTCTCCACCAACAGATGGGTATTGCCATCGGGTTCCTGGTGCCGCCCATCCTGGTGCCCAACGTGGACGACATGGCCGAGCTGGCGTATCACATCAGAATCATGTTCTACATCAGCGCAGGTGTCGCCACCTTCATCTTTGTCCTCGTCATCATCGGTAAGTCTTGTAGATTCTCAGCCATCCAGGCTATTCTCGTAGTTTGATTGGAGCAACTGGACTTGCTTGAGTTCCTTGAAGATGTTTCACCTCTCATCCAAGAGGCTTCATCAGCTCTGACTGACTAGTTTGGAGTTCCAGATACTTATAGGACTCCTTAAGGATATTAGTATCTGGAACTAGTCAGTCAGAACTGATGAAGCCTCTTGGATGAGAGGTGAAACGTCTTCAAGGAACTCAAGCAAGTCCAGCTGCTAGAACTAGTCTACAAGAAAAATCAGTAAGTCTTCAAAAGTAGATGACTATCCACAAAACAGAGCGAGAGCTGCCGGAGTTATTCGCTCAGTCATGCAGCAATCGCACAGTCAGTTAACTTCCACAATCATGATTTGGAAAATAAATAAAGCAAAGCATCGTCTTGATAGTGTTACTAGTGACTGATGAAGCTGCCTGCTTTGTCTCTTACAATAATGGCAATTTTTAGGACTGCACTTCTCTTTTACATAAATAAATGATTCTGTAGAAGGATTTTTTCAGCATTAAAGTTCAGTTTTTCACATCCAGCTCGCTCCTCTTCACGTCAGAGTGTTTGTCAGGCTCCTCAGTCAGCACCGCCGAGTCTCCCTGAGATGTGCTTTCTACCGAAAAGCTCACCAGCACCGCGCTCCACTAGATGAGCAGCTGCAGTAATTGCTGTAATTGTTGATCTTTTGATGAAATGCATTTGGACACGATGTGAAACACTGAAACAGGAACTCAGGGAGTCATAGCAGTGTTTTATGAAATCATCCTCCACACAGCTCGTTGAATTGTCCTCCGCCAAGGACTGAAAGTCACCCGGAGTCAGAGGTGCCACGTACTCTTGATGTTGTTCTTTGCAAGTGATTCAAAATTATTCATAGAAGGAATTATAATAGACACGGAGAAAAAGCCCAAAGAGATGACTAAAGCCAATGAAAGCATAAAAACATTAGATGAGAACACTGATAACGTCTGTTTGGCTTATTGACACCAGATATGTCACACAGGTGATTATCAGTCTGCTGGTGAACAGTGTAGCTGTGTATGGACAGCACAAGCCTCCTTGACTGACTTATGGTATCATGAGAGGCCGGTCCAGTTCTGCTTTGTTGACATGTACGGGCACGTGTGCACATACACTCAAACTCCTGTTGACCTTCCACTTCAACTGTTAAGCGTCACACTGATCTTTGACCTCCTCTGGCTGATAGGAGGACAGACTGCCGCACAAGTAACCTCTACAAATACTTTGTTTTGTAGTGTTTCAGGAGAGACCGGAGCTCCCTCCCACCCAGGCCCAGGCCCAGTCCAGGAGCATACAGCCTGACGAGTACTCCTACATGGCCTCCATCCTGAGGCTGCTGCGCAACAAACCCTTCATGCTCCTGGTGGTCAGCTATGGTGGGTCCCCTCCTGTGGTTTCAGCCTTGTTAGGTGTTTTACTGACAGCGTAAACTACTGATTACTGATCTTCAGTTTCATTCTGCCACTAAAAAGGATTTTATTAAAAAAGCTATGTTTTTTTAAAAGTATATTTAATTGTTTACAGTGATATAAAACAGTGAAAAGCAGGATGTCCTCATGTTAGATGCAAACATATGAGGTGTGTCAGAAAGGTTCCAGGACTGGTGTCACAAAAGATATATTTCAAATCCAAACTACAAACCACAAGTTTTCCCCTTCCAAGTTATCCTCCTGGAGTCTAACACACTTCTCCAGCCTTCTCTGCCACGCTGGCATGCACTCCTGGAAGGATTCATCCAGGATCCTCCGTCGTCACAGCCATCTTGATGTCGTCCACGTCTTCTAAACTGGTCCCCTTGATGACCCCCTTGGGGAAGAGGAAAAAAATACCACAGAGACAGGTGGGGTGAGTAGGGAGGTTGCTCCAGCCAGGAACTGTGGGATGCTCAGGGCGTTGTGAGCAGGTTGTCATGGTGAAGCAGCCACGACTCGTCCTGCCACAACTCTCGCCTTTTCTCTGAATGAAGCAAACGCCGCAGGATCTCTTTGTAGACGTGCTGGTTGATCGTCTGAAGGGGAAAAGTTGTAGTTTGGGTTTGAAATACATCTTTTGTGACACCAGTGATGGAACTTTTCTGACATACCTCCTACATACAGCATAAATGTAAACATAAAAGACATCTATTTAAACTCTTAGACACTAAACCCGTAATGTAAGCTAGAAAATAAATCCATAGTTGGCAAGATTTGCTTTATTTACCCTGGTTATTGTTGAAAAGTGTCAGTCTCACTGTACCCTATGGTCTATCTCCCAGTTATGTAAAACAAGCCTGGCTGCTACCATGAAGCTCGTACTTTCCAGCTGGTACTCTGCTTTACAGACAGCGCTGTGGGGATTCCAGGAGGTTTTGAGCCACTTCTTAAGTTTCATTTTCAGTTCCTCATTCCACAGAACTTGTGGGTGTTTTTATTAGTCTGACTCACTGGATGTAGACGGCGGGTTTAAGTCTGCCATTGGCTGCGCATTTCTCCACGACTTCAGTTTTTAAGAATCCCCTTCAAACAGCAACTAGTTTTTTGAATTAACCATTTTAGTGACAGCTCTCAGTTCCCTACGTGCAGATGTTTGACCAAAGCAGGTCCCATGTTCTTATTTTGAACACCATCCTTTGCTCAGCTCTGCCCAGTTTCACAGCTTTAAGTTCGTAGGTAGGTCATATGAAATGATATCACTAAGAGAGGAGGAAGTGTGATAAATATTTTCACGTGCTTCTGTGTCATATTGTGACACGCAGGTCATCCCACACTCCAACATTTCACTTTTATCACCGGTCCATGACAGCATGTTGTCGCATTATTGAGGTAAAAGGTGAGAAGATGTCAAAACCTCCAAATAGATATCTACGTGTCTGAAGCTGTCACCGTCTTAAGATAAACTCTATTGATTGTGCTGCTGCACAGATACGAGGGTCTGTCATCATCACACTTGGACTTCCAGTTCAGTGACTGTATGGTGCATTTATCTGATGGCCTTTGACGTTTTTTGTTTTTTTTGCTCAAAGGTCACTGTTTAGAAATGGCAATGGTAATGATTGACAAAAGAATATTCAGATTTGTCTAAATGTAAACCTTTAACATGTCAAAACAATCAGATTTAAGGTCTTTTTGTGTCCAATGAGCATCACATTAAGATCGATGTATTCCAGTATTAAGTGTTTCATATGGTGCAGATCCATCTTGATTGTGTTTCGTGTCGTACAGTCATGTTGAAATGAACCATCTTTGCAGTATTTTAATCTAAAAAAAATCAATGTTTTGGGGCTAAGAAAGACTTGATATTTATGTGGAAGCATGAGCTCCCATTCATATCATCTGAGAGTCGATGTTCTCTGTCGTCTGCAGGTCTGAACGTCGGCTGCTTCTACGCCATCTCCACGCTGTTGAACCGGATGATCATCGAACACTATCCTGTGAGTCCCTGTGTGTCTGCTGCAAAACAGAACTGCTGCATTTTGTACTTAATATTCAAACAATTTTGTTTTTATTCTGTCTTCTGTGAACCTTTCCTGCTGAGCTCAGTAAAGTCTCAGCATGTCAACATTTGTGTGACGTCCACCGACGCTGAACCGTAAAGCTACCGGGGAGATGACCCTGACGCAAATATCAGCAATCTGATTGTTTGCGGCCCTCTTGGTCAAAATAACTGCCGGCTGCAAAATGTCACGAACGTCTTGTGTGGTCTGTAAACCAGAAACGTCAATGTTTCTCCTCTCAGGGTGAAGAGGTGAACGCTGGGAGAATTGGTCTGACCATCGTCATTGCTGGCATGGCGGGTTCCCTCATATGTGGCATTTGGCTGGACAAGACCAAAACCTACAAGTAAGATTTAAAGCATTGTAAACTATTGATGTGCACAGAAACAACACCAAGCTTTGACTCCAGACACTGAGGAGGAACCGAGGCTTAGTGGCTGACCTACAGTAAATCTGCTTGTGGGTGTTAAAGATTATTGGAATTTGGTTGATTTGTGCTCACAGGTCATCACGTTAAAAGTCCCATTAGGAAATCAATGATGGTGTAGACAAACAAGACTAAGAATCAAGTCCATGGTAGCAGCTTTGCATGGCTGGTTATGTGAGCATGCACGTGTATTTTAATTTATCCCTGTAAATACAAAATGCAGCTAAGACTAATGGGAATGTCTGCAAGTACTGGTGATCAATCTGTCAGTTATTTTGCTGATTAATTTATTAGTTGTTTGGGCTATAAAATGCCAAAAAAAAGTGAATAAGATGAAGATGTTGTTTAGTTTTCTCCACAGCCCAAAAATATTCAGTTTATTTTCATAAATGAGCAAAAAAACTGAAAATATTCAAACTTAAGAGCTTGGAGTAAAGGGATTTCTTCTTCTTTTTCTTAAAAATGTACTCAAATTAATCATTTGATTAACAAAGTGTCACTGATAACTACCTCATTGTTTGTAGCATCCATCAAGTAGTTAGGACATCTCACACAAAATAGAAGTTTCACCAAAATCAATGGATGTCATGTACTGGAAACCATGAATGCCTGCACCGAAATTTCAAGGGAATACATCAGTTAATTGTTGAGATATTTCAGTCTGGACCAAACAGGGGTTGGCGTCAAAAAAACCATGCTGCTAAGTGGATACGTGGAATCTCCATGTTCTCCCTGTGCAGCGTGGGTTCTCTCCAGGTTCTCTGGCTTCCTCCCACAGTCTAGAAACATGCTGAGGTTCATTGGTGATTCTAAATTGTCCGTAGGTGTGAATGTGAGTGTGCTTGGTTGTCTGTCTCTAAGTGTAGCCCTGTGATAGACTGGTTACCTGTCCAGGTGAACCTGCCTTCACCCTGAGTCAGCTGGGATAGACTCCAGCCCCACTGCGACCCTAGAGAGGATTAAGCGGTGTATAGATGATGGATGGAGAACTCCCTGTGAGCTGTGAAAGGAAACGATGCAGGGTCAGCATTCACTCCTGTTCTCTACGACATTAGCTCTTTAAAACATTGGCTCCTTGTACGAACATCCTTTAAATCATCCATCCCGAGAGACGTCCAAGTGAATCAAAGCTTTTCGTTCAAATTGGCACGACTAAGAATCCAACGGACCTGAGTTTAGATGTGATGTCCCTCTCTGCTTATCTGGACTGACAAGCTACACTTTATGGTCGCAGCTCGGGCCTTTCTGCCGCCGCATTAAACATGAAAACAGCAATGATGCAGTCTTAACTGAGACGATATCTGATAACTGATGCTTTTGTTTCCATTTTGATCGATTAGATGAATGATTTTACCTGTTTACTTAATTTTTTTCCCACAAAATGACCCTGTTAGATCGTGTTAGATGTTTGCTGCCCTCGGTGGTTTGGCGTGCAAACTATTATGATCCTCAGATTCCTTACATGCCATTAGGATGCTTAGCTGTCAAAGCAGTCCGATGTTGGAGAGAGTCAAAGGACTGGGCTATATTAACAAAAATGTTTTGCAGCATATTTCACGCGTGGTTGTACCAGAGACAGCTTTACCAGAGTGAGCCTGTGTTTGCATTGGGACAAGTGTTTTTCAATGACGCAGGAATAACGTTAGATTAAGGACAACTCCTCTTTACTGAAGCTTACATTGGTGCTCATTGGGCCCGTCACAACATGCACTCTGCTAGATTTAAATCTCACAATGAGAATTCCTTCAGCTATAAGTCACTGGATCGTTTTACTCCCAGCGCACCGAATTTAACCTCAATTTCTTGTAGTCAGAAATGAGACAAAGTGTGTTTTCTTTTAAATAGAGCAGATATTTTTTGGAATTAACACATAAAATATTGAAAACTAAATTTGCCTGCCTACAGTTGCTTGTTTAAGAATTTGAGTGTTCATTTTTGGAAATATTTTCCTGCTAAGTGTCCAGATGGTTTCTACAAATGTATACGTGCAAACACAAAAAACTATACCGGAGGATTTTCTAGTTCAGATCGGCTTTAGCAGGTATGTAGCGAACACGAGCCCGGTCACAGGACTCATAATCTTAAACAGTAATGTATAAGTCAAATCTGATTAAACTCTTAGATGATTTGGAACTTTCAGAGTAACAATAGATTCTCAGATCATGTAGTATGTCTACATACACGTATGGCGACTTGGAGGCATGAGCGTAATGTCGCAGCGCTTTTAAACTCTCTGAACCCAAAGTGTTTCTAGGCATCAGGCTCAGTTTTCACTGCAGCACCTCCATGGAAACAACACAACAATAGCATGAAAGAAAAAATGGAATCAACATGTGGAACATTTTTCCAGGTGCCCACATGTGTTGCCAATCCATCCATCCATCATCTATACACCGCTTAATCCTCACAGGGGACTGGAGTCTATCCCAGCTGACTCAGGGTGAAGGCAGGTTCACCTGGACAGGTAACCAGTCTATCACAGGGCTGCACTTACTGGCGACCTTCTTGCTGTGAGCCAACGATGCTAACCACTGATCCACCCTGCAGCCCTGTGTAGCCAATACATTTTTGAATATCTTCCATTTTAAATTTGTGTCTATACTTGTAGTTAACCCCACTTTAGCCAAAAAAGTCCCTGATTTTTTTGCCACATGACTGTTGGTTGAGTCACTCATGATTTCTCAGAACCAAATGTTTTGTTTTTGTCAGACGCTGATTCGTGCAAATGGATTATTTGGGACATTTTTAAAAATGAGACATTTGAAAACGTGAGTGATTTAACTGTTTTAAGTTTCATAGACTAATGTAGGGCTGCAGGGTGACTTGGTGGTTAGCACTGTTGCCTCGCAGCAAGAAGGTCGCTGGTTCACATCCCGGTGAGGACACTCAAGATCTTTCTGCGTGGAGTCTCCATGTTCTCTCCGGGTTCTCCGGCTTCCTCCCACAGTCCGTAGGTGTGAATGTGACCCCTGTGATAGACTGGTGACCTGTCCAGGTGAACCTGCCTTCACCCTGAGTCAGCTGCGATAGACTCCAGCCCCCCATGACCCCAGTGAGGATTAAGGTGTATAGATGATGGATGGATGGATGTTGGGAGCTGGTCACATGGTACAGGGTAGTGAAGTTTGTTCAGCTACCTGCTCACCTGTGCGTATGCAGTTGGTGAAGCAGAGGGTGAGTGGGATGTTGACCACAACCTTTGATCGCTGTGATATTAATTTTGTTAGATTTTGTGCATGTTATATTAAATTGACCTTTTTCATTATTAAGCTTTTTTGGATCTCAGCGTGTCGGACAAAGCACACGGCCCAACTTCATCCTCTCAGCGCTATGTAGTCTGTTTTTTTATGACTTCGCTACGTCCAAGGTGGCTGATATCCGTGTCCTGTCTCCACAGACAGACCACCCTGGTCGTGTACATCCTCTCTCTGGTTGGGATGCTGATCTACGCCTTCACCCTCAACCTGGGTCACCTGTGGGTGGTGTTCGTCACGGCTGGAGCTTTAGGGTGGGTAACCATTAATGAGCAGAGGTGTCATAAACATCAGAGTCAGGGCTTTAACATCAAACAAGCTGCAAAATGTGGGTAAAAATTAACCGTGGGATGCAACAGCGTCGGGTTACTCTTTTATTTTGACCAGTAAATGTGCTGAAATGCTGATTTATTGGAAGAAAACTGATTTGGCAAAACTGTCGAGACTGGGTTGCAGCTGAAAAACACTTTGTGTACTCTTAAAATGTTTAGTCAGAAAGGCTGTTGCATGAAGGCAGAGTAAAAAACAAGATTTCTGAGGAGCTTTACGCACGAAGGCTCTTTAACATAACTGACCGTGCATACAAGGATTTTTGGGATGGACTGAATAAACAGGCCGAGTACAAACATTTCACCAAAGACAAGTTCATCACTGCCATTAAACGTGAACCCTGACACATATCAAAGGTGGATAATATCTGGTAGGAAAGAGCTCCCGGTTAGCAGCACTTAAGAGTTAATTGGTGTCTTTGAGGTGATTCATTCAGCGGGTTAACGAGAGATAAGGCTGATTGTGACATGTCTCATTACACAGTCCTGTGACTAATTTTAACCCGAAGGTGAACCGCCGCCGTCACATTAGACGTCCAGCACTTAGCAGCTCTTAAGTCGTCACTAATGACATTTTAAACGCTCAGGTGAAGCTCTCCGTTCATGTTCGGAGCATTTCATTAAAATGGCATGAGTGCGGCTTTGTCAAAGCAAAATTAACTCTCCGCCGAGTCCACATGCTTTGTCCTTTACAATTATTACTATTTATGGTAAGCTGATTATGGCCATAGCTGGTTTCCATAGCGATTCCTTTGTCGGGCTTTCGTTTCTAAAACCCAGACAGGATGTATTATACGGCAATATACACGTGTCCTACTTTTACATTTGCTGCTTCTGAGGCGGCTACGAGAGGTTTTAATTCGACCTTAGCTTTGTGTGTGTGTGTGTGTGTGTGTGTGTCTGTGTGTGTCTGTGTGTGTGTGTGCAGCTTCTTCATGACAGGATATCTGCCTCTGGGCTTTGAGTTTGCAGTGGAGCTCACTTACCCCGAGTCAGAGGGAACCTCGTCTGGACTGCTGAACTGTTCAGCTCAGGTCAGTGTTGTTGGCGTGATTACCTGTACACTGGACAAAACAAACAAACAAACAAACCAACAACAACAACAAAAACCCCTGTAATATTCTAGCAGAAAAAAAGAAATACAGTAAAATAATGGAAAACAACCATCTTACAAACATTCAGTCATTTTTTTTTTAGAAAGAAACTACACTTCCTGGCCTTGATGTATATAACATGATGAATAATCAAAGCTTTATTTTGACAGGTTGCGATTATTGCCTACATATATAGATATTACACACTGATAAATACACATTCATTCAACATATTTTGTGGAAACTTCTGTCATAGAAGATATCTGTCATTTACTCAATAGGTATGTAAAATTACAGACAGAATACCTGTTAGTTGCTAGTAATTATATCTAATTTTCGAAATATATTTACAGAATTTAACTTGAACTTAACAATTTCATCTGTTAAACAAAAATGAAATATATATGAAATTATTTGCAAATGCATCCTATGATGTCTTTTTGCAAAAAAAAAAAAAAAAAAAGAAAAAAATTGGTTTCATAGTTTGGTTTTATGGTTTTAACAGATGTTGTTTTGGGCCTGTGCACGTATTTTTCGGCTCTCATTTCAGATCTTTGGAATCATTTTCACCATCTCTCAAGGCAAGATCATCGATAAATGGGGAACTTTAGCTGGAAACATCTTCCTGTGCTTCTTCCTGCTAATAGGAACAGTAATGACGGGTAAGATATTAACCTCAGCGCTCCTGTACTGGTGCTCACGACATGGAACAGGACTGAAAACAACAGTCAATGTTCAACTTCATGCATGTGATATTAAAGGAACACTGTGTGTTTTAGCTTCACTGTTTAAACCTTAAACCATTGTGTGTTTTGTCTTTTATAGCTTAATGTTGCCCCCTAGTGGCTAAGTTCATAATCACAATGTAAAAAGATAAAATTAAATGAAAAAAGTGGATTTTATGACAATTAAATACAGTTAAATCCTACACATTTTAAAACAATAAAATAGTGCATAGTTAGTAGATGCCTGCCTTAAATTTTTGCCCCTCAGTGTCCTTTTTTTTTTTCGTATTTTAGCCTAAAATTAAATAACAGAGGCCCATCACCACTGTTTGCTATCTTTTGGGGATTTTAAGTTGAACGCTAAATGAACACACATTTGCATTTTTCCTTCCAACATGATCAAGCGTCCATCTCCGCAGCTAACTTGTTCCATTTTTATCACAGGCCTCATCAAATCTGACCTCCGCCGGCAGAAGGCCAACCTGCAGACGGAGGTGCAGACAGTGAGCGTAAGTACATCTCAAATCAGAGGTGGGATCTTCACATCCCCGTGGAGAGGGAGCGTGTTAAACCCCTTTCAGACATGCGCTCCTCTCTGTTAATCTGACGGCATCTGAATGTGGTCAGTTTTCTGTAAAATGAACTTTCTCTCCATGAGAAACATCAACGTGAAAGTGTCTGAATGGCAGAATGCCGTCACTTAACGGGTCGAGGAAGCCAGCAAACTTACGTATCCCGTGTCTGAAAGGGGTTTAAATTCCTACCTTGGCTTTGGGCTGAATGCATCCTGTTCTCTGCTGGCTGCTGCTCTGCAGTCCTTCACATGTTGCTGGCTGAATGCAGGAGCTGCACTGGTGGAAACTTTTGCTCTCAACTCATAAAACAAATACAATTTTCTCTCAGCTTTGCTTCGTCTGACGGCTCTCAGGCTCGTGCTAAAAAAATAAAAAGCATGTTTACATAGTTTTGCTAAAAAAAAACCCTCATTTCAACTTAACCCTGTTCAGGACTTTCATGTTGCCGAACGTAGAAGAAAGAATCAGTGCAAAATATCTGACGTTGACGTATTTTTGGTTCCAAATGCATGACAAATGTCCCTCTTTTTAGAAATAAAAAAACAATACCTGTCACCTAAACCAAAAGATCCCAAAAGTCCTGAACAGGGTTAATACTTTGTGCTGTTTTATACTTTTATGCTGGTGCAGTTGACAGCTGTCAAACAGATGCTGTATGACCAAAATAAAAAAAAAAAATCTGCTCTATAAATCATGGTATCAAATTATTTAAAAAAAACAAAAAAAACAGCAAGACATTGTTAATAAAAAACAAACAAAACAACAACAAAAAACAGCCAAATTCAATCAACACAAACACCAAACCTCGGTGGCATCCAGCTGCTCAAAACCACCTCTGGATCTTTAACAATGAATAAACGAACGCTCGCTTCACTTCGGGTGCTCTGCGTCTCATCTGTTGCTTCAGACAAGCTTGGGACCACTTTTGCTGTTTTTTTTTTCTCGTCTTTTTTCTATTTATAACGTTCTAATTTTAACAATGCAAATGCAGCTAAAATGGGAAGCACCAGTAATCCTGCACACCAACAGAGCCTGAATAAGACGTGTTTATCCTCGTTCTGTTAAAGAGACAGTTCTGGGAAATTCATAGAAATGAGAAATCCTGAAAGATAAATGGATGAAAATCTAAATTAATAAAGTGACATCTTGACTAGTATCCTCAGTGTCACTAGTGGGCAGGCTGTAGTGTAGTTGGGTGTGCAGGAGTTTCTGGAGACGCTGCTGCTGCTGCTGTGGTATGAAGGAGGCGCTGGAGGATGAGGTGACCCCCCGAGGGTCCCTCAGAGGTGTGACACCCGAGCTATCGTTCCAGCCTACAGACTCCATCTCGTCGGTGCAGGACTACGGGGCCACGTCGTGCGGTCGCCCCTGGCAACAGCAGTCTTGACATTAACCCACAACCTCTTTAAAACCAAAACACACACCTGCCAAGGTAGGGGCCCGACTCTGTGGAGCTTCAACAGCAGTGAGCCTACAACACACACATACACACACACACACATGCATGACGGAATGACACCACTGAGCAATGTCACCTAAATGATTCAACACTGTGTCACCTTACAGTAATTAGTAAGGAGCCCCCCTGCCCTCCATCCATCCAGGAACCGTGCTCCAACAGAACCAGGAAGAGGGCAGGGAACGTCGTCATAGACCCCACGCATCCTGGTCATGAACTGTTCTCCTGCACACTAAAACCACCAGACATAAAAACGGTTTCGATCCCACAGCCATGACTCTACTGAATAGCTGAGCCATTCTCAGCCAAAACTGTTATTTTTTCTGCTATTTTGTATTATTATTATTATTTATTTTTTCTTTCTGTAGTTATTTTACTTTATTTTCCTATTTCTATCATTCCTTGCTCATTCCTAGGGCGACACCAACATCCAAAACCAAATTCCTTGTATGTTGTGTACATACTTGGCCATTAAAGCTGATTCTGATTCTGATTATATTACTGTTAAGCTGAAAAGTAGATAGATTAGATAGACACATTCAGCTTTATTGATCCCTTTGGTAAAAACCTCAGGGAAATTGTTGAAGTAGTCCAATCTCTCTTTCTATGTCCAACTTTAGTTGTGATGACAGGCATAATCCTATTTGGAGTGGAGGATGCTAAATTTGGGCTGCAAGGTGGATCGGTGGTTAGCACAGTTGCCTCGCATCTAGAAGGTCGCCGGTTCATGTCCCAATGAGGACACCCGGGGTCTTTCTGCGTGGAGTCTCCATGTTCTCCCCGTGCAGCGTGGGTTCTCTCCGGGTTCTCCGGCTTCCTCCCACTGTCCACAAACATGTTGAGGTTAATTGGTGATTCTAAATTGTCCGTAGGTGTGAATGTGAGTGTGCTTGGTTGTCTGTTTCTAAGTGTAGCCCTGTGATAGACTGGTTACCTGTCCAGGTGAACCTGCCTTCACCCTGTCAGCTGGGATAGACTCCAGCCCCCCGTGACCCTAGTGAGGATTAAGCGGTGTATAGATGATGGATGGATGGATGCTGAATTTCTGGAGTGAGATTCTGCTACTTAGAAAAACTCATGTGATTTTGGCAACATGCTCTGCGCTGTTATCATGCTGGAATATTTATCCTCTGCCAAATTTGTGCAGATTGGAAGTCTGCACATTGCATTTAAGTATATCCACAGGCGTCTATGAACATCGTGTCCCCGACACCTTTTGCCTTCATGCAGCCTCGTATCATCACACTCCCACCTCTGTGCTTCAGTGTTGGGACGATGTGTTCCCTGTGGTAGTCTTGGCCAAGTTCACTCCTATTTTATACTCATGTTCATGCAGTTAAGCTGATTGGAAATCACAGTCATACTCAGTTTTGTTTCCGTAATGATAGGATTTTGAACTTGTGTGTTTGTGGTCACAGGTGTGTTCACTTTTGTTGAGTCCAGAGTATTTGTTTTTGACTGCAGATGAGATTAAATTTCTCAACTTAGAAGTAATGCAGTTACTGAGAGGTAGCATAAATGAGTCGTTTGACATTTTAAAGAGGGGTTTACTCACATCTGTTGTTTACCACACAGACACACAATGGACAAAAGCAAAAACTGATCTTCAGTGTGAGAAAACTGCCATTGAACCTTCCAGAGCATTAAACAAAACTGTGACTGAAGGAGCAAAAGTAGAGCGTTTGAATAATTCTTCACTAAAGCCTGACTGCTGTTTTGTACATAATAACATTTGAGGTTGTTCCTACTGAACTCCACTGAGGTTCGTCTGCTGTTCATGTGGAGTTTATCATTTATCCTCTGAGTTCAACCTCCTCTAAAACTCACCATGAAAATACAAAATGAAACTTAAGACGAAGATTCTCAACAGTTGTATTTTTTTAAAGATGACATTTGTGGTTAACTGACTAACAGTTTATGGATTCCTGTGATTTGATACCAGTGAATAACTATCTAATAACTACTTCCCTCATCTGTTGAATAGTAACGCTCTTTCCTCGTCCTTCACAGAAAATAACAGCTGATCTGGAAAGTCGCGTCTCTCCACCTGAAATCCTAAAAGAGGGGAAGTTGTAAGGAGGACGGACGTTCCCTCCGCCAAAGACATCATGTAGAGATATTCAGAAAAGACGTAGTGACACATCAACATGCACGAATGATCACAGAGGAGATGCTGCTTTGGAGATAGCTGGAGACAGAATCATAACACTGAACTGCTCTGTGATGCTTTAACCTGCTGAACATCTGATGGACTGTTTGCAGAAACGCACACTACTAACCCAAGTGCGACTTAGCTCCTCCCCAAGAATCACGCACATGGGGAGTGCACTTGGAACATTTTTAAATCGTTAAATATCTTTAGTAATTTTATCCAACGAGGGCATTTTACATGTCAGTGCACTTTAGTGACTCCAACGTACTGGATTGAATTCCTGCTGCCCTCTCTAGTGTCGATGTAGTGTTTTATGCCTTTAAAGAGAAATATTTAAACTTTTGTTTCCTCGTATTGGACCAAACTTGTAACTGATCTCAGTCTTTACATCGCTGAAGGTATTCATTTGAGTGTTCTGTTTTTAGAATATATGCGTGTTCAACGTGTTTACCTGTCGGGTCTGCCACTCGGGATCACGTGGAAGAACTACTTCTGATTACTGCTGATTATGATCGATGCCGTGCATCTGAGTACACTTTGCAAGGTCAGTTTTGTCCTCGTTTTTACTGTAAGCGACCTCCACATGAAGACGTTCGGAGACGGATGAACACACGGGAGAGCATCTGGAACATGAAGAATGTCCGCACAGCACGAAGTGATGGGAGGACGGGGCAAATCAAATCTACTGCCCTCGTCGTTTTGCACACTAAACTGTTTTTTATGTGTACTTTAGCTTGTAAATGTGTGATATGTAGTTCCTGCTGTGTAGCCAGTGCTTATACAGGTTAACATGTTTTACTTTGTGTGTCCTATGATTGTTCTGTGATTGTGAGATGCTGCTTATTCTTTTAGTGGCATTTTAGCGTCGTGAATTTTCTAAACCCTTTAGAGTTTTTGCCATTTTGTATGATGCTAACTGATAATAAAAATCTTTAGACTGCAAACACAATATTGATCTTTCTGTTACACTAAAGGAATAAGAAAGAGAATCAAGTCAGTACCTTAAAAACCTGAATCAGTGTGCTCTAGTAAATCGTATGTATTGTTGTCAGTAATGAGATCTTCCCCTCCACAGTGTGTCCGTGTTTGAGTTTGATTTAAAAATGTAAAGAATTGTCAACCGAAATATGACATCAGAGCAAAATAGGGAATTAAAGGTTTTACCAAAAATGCAAAAACACAATTACACCCTTGGAAACAGACGTCTTCACACCTCAAACATGTTTTCATTGATGGATTTTAAAAATACATACCACACTCTCATTACTTTGATAGAAAACATTATCTTTAAAAAGGCTTCATATGAACAACGTGCATAAATTCCCTCCAGCAAACATCAAGACTAACTGCTGCGACACATGTTTGTGATGGTTTATAATGAAGGGCGTCGTTTGTTTTTTTACTGTGTAGTCATGAAGTGTTCTTTGGTAAAAATCTGGATTCTGGAAAGTAGAAGTCTGGTGAAATAAAACAAACAGCATCCTGAAAAAAAAGGAACTCTGGATTGTTGTCATTTCATTTAGCAACGCCACACTCAGGCTAAAAAAAAGAATTTCTGGCTGTTAAGATGCTGCAAAATGAAGAAAAGGAAGCCCACATGTGTCGCTAATTCGACAACAAAACCAGCACACGTTACCCTCTGTTGTGTAAAACCATTCTGATCGCACAGCCAACTGTAAAATGAAGACTTCATCGTGTAATTTAAAATGTCACGGTACAAAATAAGGGATTGCCTTTTCTTCAAGGCAAGAAGCAGCACACGAGGATCGGTCCACGAGGATCTGAAGGTGGTGGATTCAGTCTACGAGGGGAACTGCTGGGATTCAGTTACGTTTCTTCTGTCGAGCTCCGACTTCCTCCTGTGTTTCTGGCAAACACTGGAATCCAATGAGCATCGCTATGACAGAGAAACCTGGAAAAACGAGTTGAGATACTGTTAGGATTCTTTTTTAAACAATATGTTCATCTGTGGCAGAAGAGGTGAAATCTAAAGAGATGTTCCAACCCATAAAAACACATTATTAACTAAAGAGGCTACTACTACTAGCGGTCTGCACTCACTTGCCACGATGAGAGGTGCCATGACTCCGATGGTCAGCGGTGCAGTTTTGTAGAGGAAGGCTTCGGACAGAAAGTGACCCAACGCCAGCACAAACGTCCATAAGGTGATGTGATATAACCTGCAGGGGCCAGTGTGACACGCTGTAAGAAGACAGCATGTAGACCACCAACGGAAACAAGGTGCAGAAAGCAACAAGCTGCCTCACGTTCTATTCTGGATGTCGATGGCACACGCACAGCGGATGATCGACGACAGCAACGTCCAGATGCCAAATGTTCGAGCTTGGAGACCGTTCACTGAGGAAATTGATGGAAAGAGTAAAATCAGGAATGCTTGAGGTAATAATATGATCCAACTATCCACTTTGTATAATTTTCAGCAGACATGGTTGAATAGTAGCTAACCTTAGATACACATAAAAGACATATTTGAGATAATTTGTCCACAAGAGAGCACTGACGAGTTTATTTTTTATACAACTTGAATAGCCTGATGATCAAATATAGGATATTTGATCAGTTTTCTATACTCCTAATTGACCTAGAAAATACAGTATTGGTCAAGCTGTAATTTCAAAGACTGTTTATTGAGGTTATTGATACTATAATATGATGTGCATTGTTGTTTTCAGATGTTTTCATATTTAACTTTATTGTCAGTGTGCAGTTACAGTTACAGTCTTCCGGCACACATTCAAAGCTGTGATTTATGACAATTTTGTAGATTAAAAAAAAACCTGTGCAGCTTCTATTTTTCTACTCATACTAGACTACTACGGACGGATTTGTGCAAAGTCGATAATCTGTGCTATATTAATACCTCCCTCAGTATTTCAAATAATGAAAGAATCTGTGCAATGCCACTGATATGTCCTTCTAAAACCAGCTAGGTTATTTTTTTATACTGATATTCCTTAACTACTGGCTCTATCCCCCTTTAAAGCTGTAACAATGCACATTTCCCCACTGTGAGATTAACAAAGACTCATCCTATACCTGAGGAAACTGTTCAATCTATTTCTATAATTCTACAGTTTGATTTAACAGACGCTTTTATCCAAAGCGATGTACATCTGAGAGCAGATACAACACAGCATAGAATAAATTCAAGTGTGATAGGGCGTTAATGTCAACAGCAGGCTGTGTGGGAGGTAACAGGATTTTCTCTCTTTTTGTTTGTTTCAGTCTGTCAAGTGCAAAGGTATTCAGTGAAGAGCTGGTCTTTAGTCTTTTCTTAAAGACTGAGAGCAGACTGAACAGTTTGGTGACTCGTTCCACCACCACCGGGGGAACCACAGAGGAGGAAAAGAGTCTAGCTATCGACCTCGAGCCCTGTTGTGGTGGTTGGATCAGGCGTTTTTTGTTGCGTAGTGAGCGGGAGGGAGTGTAGACCTGAATGAGAGTTCAGGTAGGAGGGAGCTGTTCTCGTTGTGGTTTTGTAGGCAAGTGTCAGGGTTCTGAATATGATGCGGGCAGCGACTGGAAGCCAGTGAAGGGATCTGAGCAGCAGGGTATTTGTGCAATACTGCAGATTCTGAATCAACGGCATGATGAGAAATAAACATAAAAATTAATTTAATAGCTCCTGAGATGGTGCCATTCGAATTTAGCCTCAAATTCCAACGTGCGGGGAAAAAAAACCTGCTAAAAGTGGGTCGAAGGGCAAATAATATTTTTAAAAATAAAAAAAATGTTACACGTATTCGATATATTGATCTAAAATTTCACAGCTACCATTTTAAATATTCATAGTTTGAATTTCAAAGATGGTCCAGCAGAAGATGATTTGAATTAAATGCATCTGAAATGTGATGAGAATAAACAAATATGGGACATAATGAATCCTGGATATGCTGTAAATGGGAAATGTACAGAATATGCATTTGTTCATGATGAGTTAACTCTATAGTAAAACAATGATATGAAGTAGTTATGATCAAAATGACTGACAAGGTCACAACAATGGCAGAATAAAGCACCTATCAGATAAGTAGCATGACAGTCAGTGGGATTAAGGTCAGCACATAAATCACATCATCACTCACAGCTGACACAACCAACATTTTGCACATGTGACATCTAACATCGACAGCCTGTAAGGTGTCAGTTTTCTCACCAAACTCCGGCGTTCCTGTGTAGAGCTTCTCGGACAGGAAGCTGTGGTCTCTGAAACTCTGCACCGTGTTTCCCATCGCGATGACGGACACCATCACCAGCCAGCTCCGCAGGACGTTCAGAAAGCGACTCATCTCTCCGGTGTGTCGGACGCACCTGTCAGGAGAGGGGGGGAAAAAGTCAGGACAAACGGCTCCACACAATCCCCAGTGATCGGTTATATAACAGAGACCAGATTAACAGATGTGTTCGGTGTGTCACCTGTGTGACTCATGGCGTGGACACCATCTATCAGCTAGCAAAACGTCAAAAACTGTTATGACATAGCAAGCTAGCTGTCCCTGTCAGCTGGTTAATACAAACAGTGAGCCCGTTTTAATGTAAAACAACACGAGTGGTGCGTGTATTTACCTGGCGGCGTCTATCAAACTACAGTGTGACCATGTTCCTGTCAAAACACACCAGATGTGAAACAATAAAGTGGGACTGAAGCCAACTGAGTATGGTGTTACATTCACAGTGGCAGGTCTTTCAATCTTGGCCCCCGCGGGGTTAACCAATAGGAGAGCTCATAAAATGGCTCCATTGGCTCGTACCATTGTTGTGATTGGTCCTTTCACGCGGTAAGGCTCCGCCCATTAGCTCCTTCAGCCAATAGAATGCAAGCGACCTGGTGGCTTGTCGCCAGTAAGTTAGGTTGTGTACAAACAAAGAGTGGATGAGGAGTGAGAGAGTTGTAGGTGGTGGCTTGTGCTATTAAATTATTAAAAAATAAAAGTAGTCAACTCCTTGCAAAGTGCTAATGTACTGGTATACTCAGCGACTACATATGGAACATTTTATTGATTAAAAGAAATTTAATTTATTATTTATTATTATCATTTTAGCCAAGGAATCAACAAGGATTAAAGCTGAACAATCAACGGATTTTCATTCAAAACTGCCCTTTGAAACAATGCAATTTGCAAAGGCTGCAGGGTTTATTTGTTTAATATTATTACTAAAATTAATTAATTTAACTTGATTGTAGCATGTGCAATACTTAGATGCTGCTCCTGAGCCATAAGTGAATGATCTACCAATTTCAGTCGCCAACCCATTAAATCCCATTACTTTCTCACTGAAATCTTTTATTTTTCTTTTTATTATTACCATTACTACTTTATTTGTTTAATGTAACCGGTCACAGTTTATGGGTGATCTTTTTCCCCCTTCATCAGCAACTGCATGTCTTCCACTGGACTATTAAATCCTCTGGTTTTCATTTAAAAAGGCCAAAATGACTCCATTTATTAGACACAGAACCCGTAAGAGCTGAAAGAATCATCTTTTAGCAGTTGGAAAAAAATGTTATACAAGTTGACTCCAGCTTTTTAAAATTTGTGTAAAATATGTAACAAAATAAATTAAAATGTCTTTTGATTTTGATTTATGGAATTGCATACTGCCCACAAGATATTTTTGAACTCTCTCTACTTCTAGCCATGGTTGTGCTGTTTCCATAAAGGATATTAAAAAATAAACTTTTTATTGCAGTGAAAGCTGAGCCCACAGTGAGGGAATAAGTGACATGAGTAGAAAATGCACACATATTGCTTGGGATTCAGAAGGTCAAAGAGTCAGTCACACAAATTGTTATTTAAAATGTATGAAAACATTATTTTCCAAGGCACACCTTAAAATATATTTATAGCTCTTTAAATTGTCATAATTAAAACAAATTCCGGGGTTCATAGTTTGAGAACCACTGCTCTTGCTGACATGCATGCACTGTGATATTAAGTTAAGCAAAAAAAGAAAGTGGCTTACTATCTTACTTTGAAGAGAGAGCAGGGTCTCAAATTTTATATTAGCAGTGATCTGGAAAAAAAAAAGAAGTGCAAATATTAGGTTAAAATCTAATCACCTACAAAAGTATTAAGTTTTTCTAACCCAGGGCCTCTCCTCTAAATATCACTGCATGGTTCGCTGCAAAATTTGGTCACGTGGACAAACATAGCGAGGCAGTGCGCATGCTCCGCGCTCTGTTGCTACTCAGTTGTTGTAGTTACCAGGAAGATTAACCGCGATGATCAACTGGCCCTGGTGATGGAAGCTAGTTAGCCGTTAGCTGGCTCCATAGAAATATAAGGCAAGTTTATGCTGCTGCTGTGTCTTTGCGCGTCGTTATACAAACAGACTTAAACTGAACAGACGTTGCAGTTAGCTACGCATGTGTGTACTTAAAATAACACGTCGCTAACCCCTGGTGTTGTGTAGCTAGCGCTGGTTGGACTGTCTGTCAGGGTTTAGTCTTAACGTCTTATGTTTTACCTTAGTAAGGTGATTTCGCCGCCACAGCAGGTAGAGTTAGAAAGCAGCTGTTCTCAGCTAACTGTGCGCTAATAATAAACCACTGTGGGGCTGTGGCAGTCTGAGTAACAAGCGGCGGTGAAGTGGTTGGAATACTGTGTGCGAATGCATTGGCGTTCATTTGAGCTGAGCTTATCAATGATTTCTTTTTGTGTACGGCGTAGATGCGGTGGTAACATTTTGATCCCAGGGAGATTTGAGCAGGCTGCCCCGTCACCTTTTTTGCTGCGAACATGCCAGCCGTGATCCGGGATAAAGAGGACTCTGAATCCTCCTCAGAAGACGGGCAAGAGTAAGTACAAGTTTGCAGTTCTTTGTGTTGCACTGTCTGCAGTAGAGACATAGAGCTGTGACTGTGATCTGCTCCAGAAACCAAAGGTCAGCAGATCAACAACACCTGGACATCATCTATTCAATATCATGAAGAAAATAATTTGCAGCTAATCTGTCTTTTATAAATAATTCACATGAGAAAGTCCCAACTCAGATCATTCTATCTATTCTGTCATCTGTGTATTCATTGTAGAACATTAAATCAAATCCAGTTTATTGTCATGTTGCTGTACATACACAGTAGTACAGGCAAGATGAGGGAGCGTTTCTTCAGGATCCAATAACTTAAAGCAATTTAAATAAACAAGTGTTTGCATATCTGGATCAGCAGTTCAGCATTCTGTGGCATGAAGCTGTTCTATCACATCATATTATAACATATCCAAAAACCAATAACATAATGATGCTGATCGGTCTTCTGTCTGAGCTGTCCTCTGTAATTGTTCTCCATCACTACCAGCCTGATAGTTTGACTGAACTGCCTTTTTCTTACCTTTTATTATTCACACACATGTATTGTTTAATATGATAGAATACAGTCATTAATCTTTTCTGTCATATTTGGTTAAAAATGTCATGATGTGGGCAGTGATTCAGACGTCCGGAAGCAGGCTGGCACACCAGAATGTCGTATTTATAACAGATGATTAGCATACTTCATGAATATTGTTAGATTTCTTCCGTCGTTGGCACCTCGGTTTAAGTGTTATGCCTTTTAAAACAGGCTTCTATGTTAGTATAATGGTGCAATTTCATAATTGTGATACAGACAGTTTCAAAGTGTGGAGAGGATTTGGATATTGGTCCCAGTTCCTGCAGCTTGTGGACTTGGCAGATGCCGTTAGTTCAGTTCTTAGCCTACTGATTCTCTTGGCGCGCCTCACAGGATTTGCCTCTAAATAGATTATTAATATTCCACCGTGGCAGACCAAAGGCATTGTTGATTTTTTCTTTTTCCTGCTGTACCAAGCCTTTGTAAGTTGCCATCATTTGTTGACTGTGTAATGTGATCCATGCAGGGTTCTAGAAGATGTCCTGAGCCCCGTTTAATAATTTATGCAAAGATGCATTAAGACAAAATGAAACCTTCAGATATCTTTCATTTTGCATTATTGATGACAGTTTTGAAAGAGAGAGAAGAGCATCTAGTTCTCAGTTGTAGAGTTGGTCTTTCTCTGGCAAATAATTCCCTCCTAAGCCAGATTTAGTCATTCCTTACTGAGTGCCACTGTGTCTGCTTTTAGGCTTCGTCTCTTAAGTTAGTGTGGATTGCTTAGAATAAGGGTTTAACCTCCAGGTAACCAGTGCTGCTTTTCCAGACTGGAAAAATTGAGCAGTGAGATGCTACCAGAACAGTAACCACGTGCTGGTGGATAATACGTAGTTATCCAAAATAATCTTCTTCCTTGAAAGTGGTTTTACTGGGAATCGCTTTATTTAACCTGTAACTGAAATGTTATATTGTCTTTATTTATCAGTGGTGGTCAATAATAATTTACATGAAGCTGATGCAATCGGACATCACTAAATGATGCACAGTAGAGCCTGACCACTGCTCAAAATTTATGATCAATAAAATTACCGATTTTAATGAGTAATAAAGAAATTCGATATAAATACATCGGCTTCTATTATTATACATTTAAATCTATAAAATGATGGGGTCTGTCTTAAATTTTCATCAACATGTTTCACAAACAAGTTAGCAGCTTACCATGTAGACGCCACTTGACTCCACAGTATGCTCTGCTGTCTTGCATTCTCTGCTACATGTGCTGCAGAAGGTGTTGTATTATAAATAAGGGACATGGAGCGCCTTCTGCTGGACAAATTGAGCGATGACACCATTTCTAAATTATTGCAATCGTTTATCATAATTGTTATTGCAACCAATTATATTCTGTGGAAAGAAGTTTCATCTTTATGATGATCGAATACTATATTTTCTAGTACTGATATATCTCTGAAATTTCAGTATCTGATATGTACTAATGTATTTGTTGGGCTCTAATGCAAAGGACTAGAAGGTATTGTGTTACAAATACATTCAAGAAATGCACAGGAAGCACAGATACAAACCCATGTAAGTGATATTACAGCAGGAAACTTTCTATGGCTAAAGTGCAACATGGCAACACAAGGGCTTTGCTTCAGCTTTTTTAATGCAGCTCAGGGAATCCCAAACTTTTCTGCCTGCGACTCCCAAAATAACGGTGCCAGAGACTGACAACCCACACTATCCCCGGAGTTGACTGAAACATGAGAAAACGTGCGCACAGGATGCATTGTGGGTATTTTAAAGAGAGCTATATAGTGAATCAAATCAGCCATTGAGAATTCAGACAGGGTTAGCACCGTTGCCTCGCAGCAAGAAGGTCGCCGGTTCGCTCTGGCTTCCTCCCACACAGTCCAGAAACATGCTGAGGTTAATTGGTGATTCTAAATTGTCCATAGGTGTGAATGTGAGTGTGCTTGGTTGTCTGTCTCTAAGTGGAGCCCTGTGATAGACTGGTTACCTGTCCCTGAGTCAGCTGAGATAGACTCCAGCCCCCCGTGACTCTAGTGAGGATTAAGCGGTGTATAGATAATAGATGGATGGAAGGAATTCAGACACCAGTAGAAAATGGCGACACACTATATAGTCCACTCTTTCTTTAATAGGGCACAGTTTTGAACACGACCTGAAAATCATCTCGTGACCCTTCCTTGGCGACCTCCACTTTGGGAAGCCCTGCTGTGGTTGATGAAAATGGAAATCAAATGAACATGAGAACGACTGTTGGACAATGCTGCACCTCACATGTAGTGTACAAAGATTTCATAAAGGCCTAACAAATATGGGCAAACTAGGGTTAAGAGTGTTCTTAAACGTGACACTGGTTATTTTTTCTGTCCCAAAACATTTCATCTCAATGTTAATCCAAGTATTTTAGGAATGAGACCTGAATGTTTTAAACAATCTTAAAGTATCTACATGCTTTACCAAATGTCTCTAACTTGAAAGATCATACTTTGCTGAAAATCACACTGATGGTAAGAAGTTCTTCTGTCTAAGATCTTGTGTTTATACAGGCACAGTAGCATCTCAGTAGCCCTGATGGTGGCTCATATTCACGATAAATATTATCAAAACCCCTTCTGCAACCTGAGCATTTCAGTGGAACAGATATCTGCTATTGTCTCACATACCTGGATACTTGGAAGCTCCGGGCAGCAGTTGCTTACATGCTTTATCAAGAGCGGTCATACCTGATTGAGTTCCACTCCATCATCGGTCCACCTTATCGTATTTGTACCCCCCGATAAGCACACTGCGTCTGGTACTATGAGATAATCCTGACCTTTTTTTTTTTTTTTTTTACAAGGGTGTTTGTTAGTACAGTATATGGGTTTGTTATTTCCCGGCACCTCATGAAACTGTGTGTGGCTCTGTCTCTATCTGCCTGACTGAAATAAACACCATGTCAGGATGCATTCCCTCAGCATTAGGTAACCTGCCCATATAGGCCGGTTCACATCATCCCGGACTGAGCGCCAAAGATTCTGAGCAATGAAATTCACCCCAAAGTGCATCTTTATGACATTATTACTGGGATTTCGTTTCTCAGTGTATGTTATTTATTATCCAGATTGTTTGAATTACTGGATTTTTACAACGTGTCTCATCTAATTGTCCACCAGAGACCATCCTTGCATCGCGTGGAGCGGCCTCAGCAAGACGATCCCGGTTCTCCTGTTTGTCCCTGAAGCTGTTGTTTCGAAAGATGGGGATATCTGCTCGGTTGGAGGTACAATGCGTTGTGCTGAAGTTACAGAATGACTATGAAAACAGTAATAACAATAATATGATTAAAAGTTGGAGCCTCAGTTAGTTGAATACTGAGAGTATACTGTGTTGTCACTAATGTATTTTATTTGCCCAGAGCGGTATCATATGGCCTTCAAGATTGTGCGCACGGAGAGCCGCCTGGTACGAGGAATACTCACCAATCACGGATTCCATGAGGTAATGTTCTTCCTTAAATCACGCAAATTTAAAAGATTAGCCAAAAACCTTGCAAAATTGCATTGTCTTTCACAGCGCATGCTATTTATGCACACGCTGAGCCGTGTAGGGATAACGGATACTACTGTAGCTCTGTTATTTTTCCTTTGACTGCTAATGCCGATGTCAAAGCCCGGGAATGCACCCATGGAAAAAAAACAAAATGACCTCAAGAACATTAATCCTGTTTCACGAGGGCGCACAATCCCCATTATTGCTCTCTCCTAGCAGTTACAATTAATTCCCTTTTTATTTCATTTCAATGCTTCTTGACTCCTGCTAACCCATCATCAAAGGCAGACGAGTGTCTACCACAGCCTCTGCAGAGCCAAACTTTAACAAGCCTTTATTGCAAACATCTGACTCTCCCTTAGACGCAGACAGAACGGTCATGTGAATCGTACCTCCTAACGAATTGTTGGAATAAAACAAAACAAAGCAGATAAAATAACGTGACAGTGATGAAAATCTGCGAGCTGGCCTTCCCCGTGAGATCGTTTCGAAAGCGAAGGCCGCAGTTCTCCAGGTTAGCGGTGGAGTGATCTGCTTCTTAGATCAGCCGAGCTGTCATATGTGATGGACATCAGAGTATAATGCTGCTGCTGGTGACTGGAAACTTCACAGAGCTCATTCAGTAGGAACAGCAATGGCTATACTTGGGTTTATGGCTTTTTTAATGATCCCTTTTGCATAGATATTTTACTCTGTGTGTACTGAATTTAAATCACTTGATCCGGCTTGTCAATTTGAAGTCGATCTGTTTTTCAGGTTCACCCCAACAGTAACGACTTTAACCTCATGTGGACGGGATCTCACCTAAAGCCTTACATACTACGCAGCCTTCAAGACTTCCAGAAGGTTAACCACTTTCCAAGGTATAATATATGGCTCAGATACACCAGTGTACTGCCACTGTTTTCTGTAATATAAATATCACCGCTGAGCCATTCTAAGCCCTTCAGTTCAGGCGATGTGTTTGTTGGCTTCCGCTGCAACACGCATTTAGTTTGGACCGCTGCCTCTCTGAAGCATGAAATGAATCACACTGTCAGGCAGAGGGCGTTCTGTAGCTGTTATGTATTTATATATTTGTTCTGTCAGTGTCGAAGTGGAGCGTAGCGCTAGAATATTTTAAACCGGAGCCTCTGCTGATTTCCAGGTCGTACGAATTGACGCGCAAAGACCGCCTCTATAAAAACATCCAGCGAATGCAGCAGACCCATGGCTTCAAAAACTTCCATATCGTTCCTCAGACCTTTGTGCTTCCCTCTGAGTACCAGGAATTCTGCAGTAAGAGACGCCCACCTGTTCCTGCTGCTCTAAGCACAGCTATACTGTTTAACAGTCGTTGCCCATTCGTTCTACACTCATCACCGATCCTCTCTCTCCTTCTTCTCAGGTTGTTTTGCCAAGGACAAGGGCCCGTGGATAATTAAACCTGTAGCATCTTCAAGAGGACGGGGCATTTACTTGGTCAGCAATGTGAGTGGTTCTCCCTGCTTTAGCTATCACTCATCTGGCTTCTGACCATTTAGAATGATTGCCTGTTACATCCTCAATGTGGACGTGAGATGTGGGCAGTTTAATATTGTTTGATTGCGTCAAAAAAAAGGGAAAACCTGCAGGGGAAATCAAGGATATAATAAAAAATGACAGAATCATCAATAGACCTTCATGTGTTTGTGTGAAAGGTCAAGAAAAACAGTGGGTATTGTGATGCAACTTCAGATTCAAGTTTTTATTTGTCATGTGCTCATACAGAATGTACAGGGAAATGCAAAGTGACTGATCTCAAGGCTATGCAATACGACATTATAAAAGAACAATGCTTTAAAAACAATAAAAAATGAGAAAAAAGTCACAATAATTAGAAGGTAGAGGTTTTAATGCAAAAATGTTCTGTTTTAAAGGTCAAGAATGAACTTTCCTTGAAGTTAAAACATAATTTTCAGTCACAGATTTTTTTTTTTTTGTTTCCCTTAAATCGCTGTGTGAGTCCACAGTTTTGTCTCTGGACATCTTGGGTGGTCTCGACCTCCAGGTTAGGAAGCTCTGCTCCAATACTAAACACCAAATATCAGCACAGCAATATATCACATCACTTTCTCTTGCAATAAATTGTCAATACGCAGGCGTTAGTTTTAATATTTTTCTTCCAACCATGCAGGCGCCTCAAATAGATTTGGCTGCTAATTTGATTAATCGGAGTCACTGTTTGTTGACTTAAAGGGAAGTTAAAGTGATCGTAAGTTAACTAACTTGTGTGAAGATGAACAAACTCACAAGGGGGGAAATGGTGAACAGTGCAGGGAAGCAAATCAGAGAAATGGAAAATTGAATAATAATGATAATACACACACATATGCACTAACAACACAGTACTTTTGGTCTTTTTTGTTCTTTCTTCTCCAGGGACACAGATTTCGTGATGATTTATAGATGCAATACATCGAATATTGCAGAATCGATAGTAATCTTATGAGTTACTCTGTGATCTCCACCCTTTTCTAAACCTCTGTTCGAGGTGTTTTCATCTTTATGTTCGCGTTAGTGTTTTTAAAGCCATGTTTATAATGTCTCCTTGTCTTGTAGCAAGTAAAACAGAACACGAGAAACTGAAACAACACATTTTCTTCCATCGTTTGTGGGCACAGAAATCTAAAAAAACAATCTCAGAGGCTACACAATTGCAGGTTTAAACCAAGACAGATACCACAGACGGTTAGTAAAGGTTAGCACAGACTGAAAAGAAAGCCGCTCGTCGACAGCGTCAATCAGCTTTTCTGTTTTTGCGTCTTCGAGCTCACGCATGAGCAGGGATTCGCATTAATGGCAGAAACTGGTGGGAGTCAACTTTAAGCACACTGACATAAAAAATACTGTGTGAACTCAAAACAGTCACTCGGCCAGATGTTATCTGTGTGTGGGGGTGCACTGATACAGCTGTCTTCAAAATAAGTATCAACCGGCGTTTCAGACATTAATAAGCCTGGTGGAGTAAATCACACACTTCCAAGGCCCTGGCTCTTGGAGGAGCTCAACAAGGTTCTCACTCTTGGAAAACACATGCACGATTCTTCTTCTTCTCAGGCATTTTTATGAAACAGTGGAAAGAATGTCAGAGCGATATTTGGAGAGAAGAAAGAAATACGTTCATCTTGTTGGTTTGGTTTTTCTCTGAACTGCAGCCAGCGCTGAGGTTACTCCCCCACCCTCTCCTCTCCCCACTCCCCTCTCCCATCTCTTCTCAACTTCACCACCTGCAACACATTTCAACCTCATAAATGACCCATCTCCCACCACCAGATTGTGTTTTTATAGGCTGTTATTGAAGGTTGACCTGCTATGGCCAGCGTCGCCGAGACTTTTCTTCATCTGATTATTCTTTGATGTTTATGGTCGACTGCGGCGTCACGTCAGCTGTATGGAATCGAGGATTTAATGTATTTCTGTATGAATTAACTTGCAGCGTTTTCGCTTGAAACCCAAGATAAAACACCGCCTCCGCCTTCGTCTTTGCGTGTTTATCACGTTGTCTTTTATGTGTTTTGTTTCTCATCTGCAGCCAAATCAGATTTCGATGGATGAAAACATCTTGGTGTCTCGCTATATCAGCAACCCCCTGCTGATAGATGGTGAGTTTGTGTTATTTGCTATATGCCTTATGTCATATCTAAGCGACATTTTGACAGATTTGCACTGACAACTCTTTGCCTTACGCTAATTTTTGTTTTCTTTCCAGAGTTCAAGTTTGACGTGCGTTTGTATGTGTTGGTGACGTCGTACGATCCGCTCCTCATCTACGTGTATGAGGAGGGCCTGGCGAGGTGAGTACATGTCAGTTATTTACTGATCCTTTTGAGGGTAAAAACAATCCAAACTAACTTCCAACGCTGTTGCATAACAGGTTTTGATTGTTTCTTTGGTTGAACATCTGAGAAAAGTAGATGCAAAGAACAAAAAGTCTTGAAATGTATGTTCCATGTCGTTACTGGACGTAACTCCAGTCCTGTGAGCTCTGCTGATGCTGACACGTGTTTTATAGCCTTTATTGTCACGCTCTCTTTGAGACTTTTCTTCTGATGAGTTTTTTGGATTACTTTTTTGAATCACAGTGTGGGATGCAGTTGTTGCCAATGCTGGAGTAACAACTTTTTCTACACGTGTCTCCATTTGTACTCCAGCCAATAGGATCGATGCCCTCTCTATGAATAGACACCTGATTGGCTGAAGTCTCCCATCACGGGCTAGATTTTTAAAGCCTGAAAACCGAGCCAAGAGGAGATGCAGGTTGTCTCTCAGGCCACTTAAATTACAGTATACTGATATGTTGTTATTGGATTGTTGACTCCAAAAAAGTACAGTCTAACCCAGCTTTGAGTAGAAAATCAAATAAGGAAGTAGGACGGTGGCATCTTGTTAACATTGTCATCTAAATTCAATCAGCTGTTGTGACACTAACAAACAAATTGGTAAACAAAATCTGCAGCCCTGTCCGTCGGTTGTTTCCACTGAAAGTGATGCAGGCAATGCTTCATATTAGACAGCTGGACTGTACTTTATTCGTCAAGACCACATTATTAAATCAATGATGGCACTTTTTCCAAAACTCTTGTCACACTTTGTTTATTTGCAGTCAGTGTGGAAGCAAACTACCTCCTGTTGCGACATTTTTCAAAGCTTAGGTTCTTTCCTCACCCTCCAGTTATCTAATTACAGCACATTTTGCATGATTACCTTCAATTTTCACTTTTTAAATATGTGTTTTGTACCTCTAATCAAACACTGTAATTATATAGCAGCTGACTACATGTCTACACCAGTGCTGCATTCAAATACATTTAAAATCTAGATTTCAGTTTGATTTCTGGCTGAACACAAAAGTGTCAAAATTATATGTTTATTTATTTTCTAACATAAAATAGAAAACAGCCCGACAGATAAGTAGCTTTCTCTTTGTTCAACCTAACTACAAAGCAGCATGACATTGCATTGTAATGAGATAATCAATGTAAATCACCGGTAAGTGGTTTTAATGTTGTGGCTACCTTCATCAGCAGATATTCTATTTGCTGTATCAGACACATTTCCCCTCTGTAGTTTTACTATAGTCTGATTGGTCTATGCAAGAAAA